GCTAGTGCCGCTAGAGGTTCTGGTTCTGGAACTGGAAGCTCAAACTCAAATGCAGGCAGTGGAGGGGCCAGTGCAGTCCAAATGCTGAATGATGCTAGTGTGAATCATCCAAATGAAGATGTGAAAGTCGCCACTGTGGATGTATGCTCAGAAGATCGAGAAGACTAGATGAGGCCAAGGGGGGAATTCAAAGCTCGTAAGTAGGATCTGTAGCCGTGAAGTTAATGGGAGGTATTCAAGAGTGAAAGGACATCTCTTGAAGTGGTCAAATTATGGTGTCAAGCCATGTCCGAAGGTGAATGTTGATGTTCTAATTCAGCTCAAAGGTGAACAAGACAGGGCTGATGCAATGGCTCCTAACATGCCTCTCGATATTCCACTGCCAACCAATGGCATCAGTGGGAGGAAGAGAAGGGGTTCATCAGCTATTGAAGCAAGCTTCAATCTGGAAACTTGCAGGAAACATGATGCTTTGATTGCTAGGCTGTTCTATACTGCACATGTTGCGGTGTCCGTATACCCATATCTGCGTTTTTTTGAACTAATGTATCACGGTACCGTACTGTTCACATCTGTAACCGTATCACCGTATTCATGCAGTTTAGGCTAGAACATGGTATCCATACTCACATGACTATCAGGTAATGGCTCCTGTTCAGCGACTTTGGGATGCTTCTTTGATGGTCCAGTTTCCTTCAGAAAATAATTATTGGTGAGTACATGAGATGCGGAAAAAAATTGACAGAGCATTTATTCACGCTTAGCTTGGAGTGAAAAAAAAAGATCTCTACTCACCACCTCTTGTGGCCTTTTCAAAGTAGAGGTTCCATCAGGTTGCTGAAACGAAAGGTGACACAATAAAGAAATATGAGAGTTTATGGGCAAATGCGCTAGTAATGCAACCACCTTTGAGGATATAACAGAAAGATAAGCTCAACTAATGCCCTGAAATTATGGGATATCATTGGCATATATAGTATATGGACATCACAAAATTATATTTAGTGGTGACCCCTTTCTATCAAGACTAATACCATGCCTATAGAACCAACAAGCACATAAAACATTACTCTGGTTATAAGTGGTAGCATCAATGCCGCCACATTGCAAAGCGGTTACAAAATACAGTAGAACAGAGAGCATATGGTAGCTTCCGTATGTAAGTGGAAAGGGATTAATAAATCTATACTACACTGGCATGTTACAGACATAATATAAGGGAAAATAGTTGGAAACTACAATTACACAACGAATTTTTACCTGGAAAGGGCAGGGAGCCAGATCATCAAACAATTCATCTCTTGCATCTGCTGCATTAATGGAATACAGAGCATTCTTCAACCCGCGCGCCGCGAGATACTCCTCGGTGTCTTTACGCAGAGAATAGCCTTTGTACACAGTCACAGAAGGATCGCAGACCTACCAAGATAATTTTCACATAAGAAATGTCTATTGAAATGGTAATAATAAGTTTTGTTCACTGAGTATCGCCTTATCAGTAACAGACAGATGAACCTTGCAGCAACGCAAGAAAGAACACAGCGGTTTTAGCAATCCTATGAGATGCAGTGTCTAGCGCAACAATGATATTAGCATCCTATGAGATGCATGAATACAGCTCAGGATTTATGTGAAGTGTTACGTTATCCATCCTTTCTTATTCCAGGAAGCACTTAGCGGTACAGTTATCAAGTGTAGATATGTCTTCTTAGGATGCTACATTCATAGAAAGATTTGGCAGGTGAGCAGGTGTAAACATTTTCTTCAAGTGAGATGCTGAATGCAGATAATCATCACAACAATAGACTGAATGCTTAGTGTAACAAGTTGAGAAGTAAGGAGAGGGTAAAACAAAGAAAAAGAAAAAACAGAACTCATTACCGAATTGCTGACTTGAGCTTGGCAGTCGGCGAGGTTCTTGTAGATGCCGATGACATCCCCCTTGCGGACGACATAGAACGGGTCGCCGCCGGCAGAGTCCATCGGCGGCGGCGTGGCCTTCTTTGCGGCGGATCTCTTGGTGGAGCGCTTGGGCGAGGAGGAAGAGAAGAAGCGCTCAGCGAGGCCAAGGGCAATGGGCGGCACGGGAGGCCTGAGGGGCAAGTAGCGCAGACTGTGCCGGTGTTGGTTGTGGCTGCCGCTCAGGCTCAGGGTGCCGGCCACCACGTGCCTCCACGCCGCTCTAGAAATCCCACAGAGAGAAGAAGAAGAATAGCAACTCCTCATCGACAGCTGCTAACGCGAAATGAGAGGGTAGCCAAAACAGCAGTAGCGAGAACGAAAAGCTTCAACATACAGTTGGGTCCGTGTTGAATTGGACCGGCCAGTTCAGCTTACAACCGGCTCGCAGATCGACGAACACCTGGCTAAGAATCTGCACAATAAGACACAGACAGAAAAATCAACTTGCTGCACACCAGAGGCAGAGGGGATTTATTTGCAAGAGAATGAGAACTGGACAGAGGGCCACATTAATAAATTGTTTGCAGCAGCTGTGACATGGAACCAGGAAAAATGAGGCATGGACATGAACACCAGTATGATGAGAACACTGAAGTTTGCAGGCTCCCTGCTGGCCTCCCGACGCGGGCATTGGTTCATCAAACAGCATGAATCACAAATTGCTTGAAATAAACATGATAGAAAAAACACTTGCTGGTCCAGTAAATTCTAGAGGGGTTATTTCTCATGAACAGATGCTTGCTGGAACAAATCACAAACAGACAGTGTGCAGGCAGGAGAAGCAGGGCGTGGGCGGC